CAAACCAGTAAAGTGAAGACTGAGTAGACTTCAAAAGGAACAAGGTGATCTTGGCTTCTGACAGAGACCACTTTTGAGTCAACCTTCTGTCCTCCTCCCACACAGAGCTAACTGGTTTCAAAGAGGGAAAGCAGGACACCTTAACCTTGATAAGTGACAATACAATAAATTTTTATAAAATTGATTTGTTCCAGAAAACCAAAAAGGGCTTTTGGGAGAAAAAGTAAGAATAAACCATTTACTCTCAAATTTCCCAGGAAAGTACAATCTAACAAGATGAGAAACAAAAAAATTAGTCATTGCCCTTTCTTAATACATTTAGAAACAGAAAAAAAATTATATAAAGGATTATTCACATATATTAAAAATTCTATTCATAGTATATTATCCTTCACGCAAAAAGGGGACATAAAAATACATGTATCTGCTCACTTCTGCAAAAAAATACAATAATAAACCAGGAACTAATGAGATTGGTTACCTATAGGAGGTAGGAAGGAACAGAGTGGAAATAATGAGGAAATGGGAACAGGTTAGTAGGGATGAGGGGGGGAATAACACTTCTGAGTATATCTTTTTGTATCATCTAGAATCATGATAATGTTTCATACACCAAAAAAACAAATAATTAAAACCTACCAGAGTGTGGGGGGAACCCCAATGGAAGGTAAACATAACAAATGAACTTAACTGTATTACAAATGAATAACATAACCATACTGAAGGGAATGAGGATGAAAAAACTAACCTAAGTTGGAAAACAGTGTTTTCAATGTATGCTATAGGCTAATGACAAAAGGAAGTACACTCAGATATTTCCTACTTAGGAAAAAATATTTTTTAAAATATTTATTTATTTAGGCTGTGCTGGGTCTTAGTTGCGGCATGCAGGATCTTTGTTGCAGCATGCAGACTCTTAGTTGCAGCATGCGTGCAGGATCTAGTTCCCCGACCAGGGGTCGAACCCAGGCCCCCTGCACTGGAAGCATGGAGTCTTACCCATTGGGCCACCAGGGAAGTCCCAGGAAATTTGTTTTTCACAGGGGTATGGGTTAGCAATTCTGAAACTACTTTCTGTATATACCATGATTGAGCAAATAAATAAATATACTGTGAATAATGAGAGCCACGTTTCTCACTGTTGGAGAAAGCAATTTCAAAGAAGCAAAGAGAGGAGGCTAAAACAAAACTGTGGTGGACTGAAATTGAAAGTGTCAGTATGTACTCATAGCTTTTAATATATATATACAGACTAATACAGAAGTACACATAGAATGTGTATATATGCATGTTGAGATATATGTATTTTCTAGCTCTGTTAAGAGGTTCTAGAAGCAATAACATTCCATAGCATGAGTATACCTAGCACCCAGATCTTCATTTCTAAATACCATTCTCCAGTAAAAGGAATCAGCTCCTTGGAGGAATGGCTGATTCCAGACTGGGGGCAGGAAAATTACCAAATAAGCCCTAAGCATCTATTGGTGTCATAAGTAAGAAAGTGCTCAAGAAACAATGTTGAAAGGACCAAAGAGCCAAGTTGAAGGAGTTTCCAATGGCCAAATCTAGGACAATCTGAGCAACAAATTAAATAAGAATAGTAATGAATAATAACCTACAGAATAAAATGACATCCATGGGTCAATACTGATATAAATAAACAACTGAATAAACAGGGGAGAAGAGGCAGCTCTTCCTTACAGCAGAATTCTAATTAAATGTAGAAGAAACAGTGGACATAGAAAAATCACCATTAGGCAAATACCACAGTAATAACTGTTGCATACAAAAGTCATTCATGGATGCTAAAATTAGTGTGTGAAGGTGTGATGTAAAAGAGGTTATCTGAATAGTTTCCAAGTATTTCCTTCCCAATGAGATACTTAGTAACTAGAGAGAGAAAAATAGTAACTTTACAGTGGAGAAACATGGCAGACCCCACCTTAACCAAGTGGCCCAAGTTAACATCAACAGTAATGAGACATCAATGTCATGTACTTCCTGATAATGATGAACTGAGATGGGCACATCACTTATGTATTTTTCCAAATATGCATAGCCTAAATCTAATCAGGGGAAAACATCAAACCAACGCAAATTGAGGGATATTCTACAATAATTGGCCTTCAATTATTTAACTTTAACTTCAAAAGTGTTAAAAGTCATGAAAAACACAAAGACTGATCAGCTGTCACAGATTGGAGGAGACAAGGAGACATGACAACTAAATTACAATGTTGGATCCTGAATTTGATGGTGGACTTGAAAAAGGACATCAGCATGGCAACAGGTGAAATTCAAGTAAGATTTGTAGAATAGTTAATAGCACTGAATCAATGTTAATTTCCTGATTTTGATAAAAGTACTGTGGTCAAGTAAGATGTCAACATTAGGGGAAGCTGGGTGAAGCATATAAGGAAATTCTCTGTACTAGTTCTACAACTTTTCCAGAAGTCAAAAATTATTTCAAAATGAAAAGTTAAAAAAATGACTCCAATTGAAAATATTACCAAAAGCAAGATTTGATTTAATTTAGCCTACAGTGGTAGTTTTGTGGTATTGCCTGTAACTGGGAAGTTTTTCCTTTTAATTTAGTTGACAAAAACCTTCAATTTTAAAATATATGACTTGTTAAATCTGGGGAGTCACTGTATCACAGGGGGAAAAAACCCTCTACTTCTGTATATGTTTGAAATTTTTCATAATAAAAATTTAAAATACATGTTATAGACAAGATTTTTAAGTTCTTGTTAATATATTGAGGAGAATTTTCTATCATTCCTATAACTTTCATAAACATTTAGAATTCTATCAGGAATTTTTTGGGCTAGTAGGACCTTAGAAATTAAGGCGTCTACCCCTGCATCACTGGACAGGAAAGAAGCTGATGCCAGAAAGGCAACGTCTAGTTAGAGTGGGCCAAAGCCTGAACCCTATCTTCCGGCTCCTGGTCCAGGTATTTCTCCAACACTATACACCTGAGCTCTTCTTCATTTATTCTAAAACTTATCAAGAGTGATAACTATCTAAACACTTTAACTACAACAGAACAGTAATATTATTTATAACTGTTTCCAATTAAAAAAAAACACTAAATTTGAACTAATTTGCCAGACTCGTGGAAATGAAACATGCATTCAAAGTAGAATGTAAAATAATGTTGTGGTTCAACATGCAACATTAAAGATGAGAAAATCAACTATTCTAGTTTACATTTTAAAAATGAACTCTTTAGGCCTTTTATAGTGATAATATCAATAGTTCACGCTGCCATCCTTATTTAGTAATTTGATTTTTTAAAAATTCTTTTTATTTATTTTTATTTTTGGCTGTGTTGGGTCTTTGTTGCTGCATGCAGGCTTTCTCTAGTTGTGGTGAGCGGGGGCTACTCTTCATTGCGGTACGCAGGCTTCTCATTGTAGTGGCTTCTCTTGTTGCGGAGCACCAGCTCTACGTGCGTGGGCTTCAGTAGTTGTGGCTCGCGGGTTCTAGAGCGCAGGCTCAGTAGTTGTGCCACACTGGCTTAGCTGCTCTGCAACATGTGGGAACTTCCTGAACCAGGGTTGGAAACCGTGTCCTCTGCACTGGCAGGCAGATTCTTAACCACTGCGCCACCAGGGAAACCCAGTGATTTTACTTTTTAAGGGAAGTATTTCTTTCTTTCTTTTTAAAATTTAAAAAGTTTTTTTGGCTGCACCACGCGGCTTACAAAATCTTAGTTCCCCAACCAGGGACTGAACCCGGGCCATAGCAGTAAAAGTGCCGAGTCCTAACCGTTGGACCACCAGGGAATTCCCTTGACTTTTTTTTTTTTTATAACTTAAAAAAATTTTTTTTAAAATTTATTTGTTCTATTTATTCATCTTTGGCTGCATCGGATCCCCGCTGCTGCACACGGGTCCCCTCCAGCTGTGACAAGCGGGGGCCACTCCTCGCCGTGGCACACGGGCCCAGTTGCTCTCCCGGACCAGGGGTTGAACCCGCATCCCCTGCATTGGCAGGTGGACCCCAACCACTGTGCCACCAGGGCAGTCCTCCCTTGATTTTTTTAAATGGAAGTATTTGTTTTCTCACTACTGTCTTTTTTGAAGTACTTCAACTCAGTAAATGCCATCTTGCAAACATTTATCCATGCAGAAAGCATTTACTGAACAACAAATGTGTGTAAGGCTCTGTAGGTGATACTGGAAACAAAAAGATGAAGAAAGATTCTGGTCCTCCAGCACTCACTGTATACTAGGGAAATGGGCAGATGCTGATTAGAATATAAAGTAACAAGTAGTGTACACACAATGTGTGTACACCTCCCTCTGGGAGGGTGGACGGTGCTCAGTTAACCCAGTCCTCAGTCAGCCCTGTCCTTATATTCAACTTATTAGCAAATGAAGAAAATGGAATAGCTTCAGGTCACTCAATAAATGACAAAGCAGAGCTTGAACCCAGGTCTCCTGACACAGAACAGAATAAACTATTCTCCTGTTTTGATCTAACTAAAATGATGAACTGTTTTTTATCTTAATGACAGCCAGTGAAATGGGTTTGATGCCCTGACGGGCATTACAATCTACTACTCTATTTGGTAACTCTGTAACCTTGGGTAATTTACATAACTTCTCTGAACTCACTTTTCTCACCTAGGGATAATTAATCATAGCTCAAAAGGTTATTGTGAGAAATAAATAAATAATATATAAGGCAACTAATATAACTGTTGGCACACCAAGGAGTCCACAGACTAAGAATTCATTGATGGATGGGCTTACCTTTTACTCATTGTTTTGAGTTTGAAGAGGCTGGTACAGTTCTTGGCACACACAGGTTGAATGAATATTTACTAAATGAAGTCACTTTTAAATAAATGCTGAATTTAAAACTATTAAGAGACATATATTCAATATATTTATTTTCATAAACAAATGTTTTAAAACAAAATCTCCATTTCATCCACATAATTGGAACCCAACTTTTAAGGACCAGTTCCCTCTTGCAGCAGTACTTACTTTCTACTGTCGCTCCTTCATTTGGGTTTGAATACCCTTCTCCTTTCCGTTTGATTCTTCGGATAATACCTCCATCTTCAAATAAATCCTCTCCTTTGAAATCAAGAAGCTCAATCTAGAAAGGAAAAAGGGATCTGACTGAGAACGGACCAAAAAAGCCAATTTAACATACTTAGAGGCAAGGGCAACCACTCTCCTTTCATTTTACAAAATAAAACTCTGTTTTATATTTACCTGTGCTTCTTAATTATTGGAAAAGTAGCGAAAAAAGAACACTGCACTTTTCAATACCTGGAAAGAAACTTCATGTAATGATAATGTCTAGGACTACATCCTGTGGGGCTGCAGTGCAAAGACAGACAGGAAATACTAGGAAAACTGCCTTGTGGGCAAAAAGCCAGAGTGACACAGTGCTGGCCCAGACTATTTTGTCTGACTCTAGAGGCCACCACTTTTTCTCCCCAGATTCATGGAATGCCCTTCTTAAAATTAAGACTAAATCTTATGAATCAGGCCTACAACCAACTAAAGGTGTATTTTACCTAGTTACAATGTTTTAGGCATTTCCCCTCTTTAATTTTTTAATTAGGTATGGCCAAATATGTATAATTAAACACAATGAATACCATTTTATCACCATCTACTGCTTCTAATGAGGAAGTGAGATCTGTGACATTTATAAACCTCTGTAATATGAAAATAGCTTTACAACTTGCTTTATAGCTTTAGGTATATTTCAACAGGTATCTCCCACATTTCCATCCTGTCTTCTGATCAGGTTTGAGTATGTCATAACTCACACCACTGACCAGAACCTTTATTTCTAAGCCTGTTGTCTTTTGTTTATTTGGATATGACCGTTTTCTGCCAGAGACACGTTTCTAAGAAAGCACTGGCACACATCCCTTGGGTTTGTGGGAAACAATTCAAGAAGCCAAGCTCCAAAATAAATAAGTTGGATCTGATTCTCAATAGCAAGCTCAGCTCCTTGTTCCACTGCCTGTTGCTTTGGAGCCAGCACTATAGTAGAGCAGATGCTAACAAGGCAACATCACACACATACTTGCCTCAAAAAAGAGAGTTGCATTCGAGGGAATTTTGGGGAGACTGCCAGCCGAGCCATATGCATATTCTGGTTTGCACAGTAAATGACAGATCTCTCCTTTCTTCATGGTAGCCACCCCAATGTCCCATGCCTTGATAACTTGGCCTAGGAGAAAGGAAAAAGTGGTTGAAAGCTATAAGCCATATTTTAAAAGACTTAACTGTCACGAAACAAAAGTTCAAACAAATTTCCAATTCCTTACATACTATTCAGCTAGGAAGTAGGGGCTAAAAAAACCCTCAGTAAGACCTATACACTAAGAAATGAATTGTGATTTTTTTTTTGAGGGCTATCAGAGAAGATTCTCTGCTGAGAAGGATGAAAGTAGTATCAGTTTCTAAACCACTCCAAGACTAAGTCTTTGAAATGTGGCTGGGCTGCAGTTGTTGCTTAATTTATAATTTCAACCATAAGAATAAGTGCGTGTTTTCTAGGCAGAAATGGAACAAAAATAGTATAGAAAATGGAGTTTGTCCTAAGAAAGCTTATAATTTAGTTGGGCAGACAAAAACAACAAACAAGAAACCGGAAAAGTATAAATTGTATAAAAAGGCCCAAGAAACAGATTTCTTCTCAAAATTTAGAGTAAGAAAAAAAGTGGGTTTTGTTTTTCTAAAAAAAACAGAATGATATGTGTCCTTTTTTGCCAAATCACAAGAAGTGCAGAACTCAGAATTTTTTTTTTTTCCTACTTCCAGGGAACAAAGCTTACTGCTCAGCTGTAGAACTATATTAACCCATATAATTGTAATTGTATCTTACAATAAGCAGTCCCAAATCCTTTGGGAAACAATAGAAAATGTACAAAATTTCAAGGGATAATATATACATTTGAGGTGCTATGTCAAAGACTTTAGTATTCAAAGTGAGATCAGGTAATAAGCAATGAACTCCAGAGAAGGTGAATTTTGAAGAGAGCTATTATCTTGAACTGAGAACTGATGTTAGGATTAGAGTAAGGATGATTAGAATAAGGGGAACCCTATACTAAGGTATGTAAGTAGATATGGACAAAGCATTTGTGACTTATGACTTCAGCTTAGTCTTAGGCGTTACAACTTTTCAAAATATCAGATACACTTATTTTAGTTAAAAGTGTATATAAGGTATACATGCCAATTATTAAAACACACATGAGAGAAAGATATAAGTGAAAGGTAAAAGGTCATCCATTCCCTCCTTAAAAGAAGCCACTGTTATGTTTTTTTTGTACCCATCCACTGTGTGCTGTCGCTTTTAAAAAAATTTAAAACACAAATGACAGCATACTATACATTCAGTTCTGAACTGTTTTCTCATTACATAGATATATATTTTAATTATACAGAAATATGTTATAAATATATAATGTTTAAAATTTATTCATTTATGTGTATATACATATCTTTATCCATCAGCAGATAGGATATGCGTTTTAGGGGTTAGACGTGCAGCCTGCTTTAACTTCAGACTGACTAAATTAGAATACCAGGTCGGCCCCATATTAGTTGTGTGACCTTGTGCAAGTTTCCTCATCTGCAAAATGTAGATAATAATGGTACCTGCCATATAGTTGTTACAAGGATTATTAGATAAAATATGTCAAGTGCCTGGCATATAATATGTATTTAACAAAGGACAGTTATCATCATCGTAAATACATACTGATCTACTTCATTCTCGGTGGCTTCATAATATTCCAGTCACTCTACTATTGAGATACATTGCCAACAGTACTCTAATAAGACTTTTTGTCCCTTATTATGTTTGCCTATTTTGTGCAAGTATATTTAGAAGGTAAATTCCTGGAAGTGCAAAGGTGATGTGCACTTTCCATTTGATAGATATTGCCCAACTGCCCTTCCAAAAGGGCTACATCAATTTATATGCCCACACACGGTTCCAATGTGAAAACGGTCTAGAATCATCAGAAGAAATGTAAAGTCTGCTGTTGACAGGCTGCTCTACTGTCACTGATGCTCTTCAAAGACTGCAATGGCTTTAGCGTGGGCCATTTAGAACAATTTTTTTTTTACTCTCAACTCCGATATTTTAAGACAAATACCTTACACCCTCTTTCAGGAAATCTTTATACTATGGGGTTACTACTGTACATTTTGTTCAAGGCATTCAGCCAATTACTGAGGAGCAAAGGTCTGTCTAGGTACTAAAAATACAAAGGTGGCTGTTCTCTTCTTCCTTCCAAGAAACATGCAATGTAGTATGGCTAGTGGAGCAGAAAGATACCTGCCCTGATTTTTTTAAGCATGGTGAACACTAACATAAGAGTACAAACAGGGGCTTTTGCCTTGGGGTGGGGTTGGAACAGTCAGCAAAAGCTTACTTCACAGATGATGCCTATGCTAGGCCCTAGAAGTTGGAAACGTCAGCCTGGCTATTAAATCCACAGGAGCCTCAAGCTGAATAAATCATGCCTATGCCTTTGGCTCTTCTCATTCAGGAACATTAAAGCTTCTTTTAAACACTGAACTTTAGACACTGAAGGAAACACGCTGAGCAAAGAGCCAGACTGATATGAACACAGGTATATTTCTAAAATTGCCAATCTTGGGCCTCTTTTCTTAAAAAGCACTTCCCCCTGATTTAAAAAATAATACATACTCATTATAGAACACTTGGAAAGTATATAAAAGCACAGAGAATAAAAAACCTCTGAAATTTCAGCATCTGGGGTAAACTGTCAATTTCTTGGCTCGTTTTCTTCCAATTGTGTATGTATACTTTGTTTACATATTAAATTTTTTATATATACATTCTTAAAATTCTGATCATAGTTTATTTAGTTTTGTAGCCTACTCTGCATTTCACATTATATGAGCATTTTTCTTGTTAAAAGACAATACCTGAAAACATGACTTTTAATAACTATATGCTATTTACTATTTCATCTTTTAAATATGCCATAATTTCATTACTCCCACTAATAAATATTTAAATTGCTTTTTTTTTTTTACTCTTATTAAGTTGCAATGAACAGCTCTGCACCTACATCTTCACATGATTTTTTTTTTTGCATAATGAAAGCCTCTTACCTGACACATTAGGACTATGGTTGTAGGTTAATTTAAAATGTTGCTTTAAGTGAGGAATCATAAAAATGAACATATACAAACTTTTTTTAAACTTAAAACCTATCAAAGTATATTAATTCACTAATCCTGTGATAGAAGTCCAACGCCTTGTCTGCGTGTGACAAGTGATAAGAGTTCTATATCATCTTTACTATATAAATCACACTTATGGCATATCATTTGCAACTTACAACATGGATTTCTTTAAAGTGAAGTAAGAAGTAGAAGACACTTGTAAAAAGCAATCAGTATGTGGAATCCTGGTAAAAATGTGTTCTGAATGGCCTACTTATTTCACCTAGCGTTTACCCACCCCTAATGCAACTGCCATTTTAAAAAAGATATTTATTTATTTATTTATTTGACTGCCCTGGGTCTTAGTTGTGGCACGCAGGATCTTTTAGTTGCGGCATGTGAACTCTTAGTTGCAGCATGTGAGATCTAGTTCCCTGACCAGGGATCAAACCCAGGCCACCTGCATCGGGAGCTTGGAGTCTTAGCCACTGGACCGCCAGGGAAGTCCCTCAATAGCTATTTAAAAAAGGCTTTTAGCAATTCACTTTAATAAGTCTTTCCAAAGATGTTCAACTTAGTTTTCAAGGAAATAAGTCCCATTTCTTATTACACTAATTTCAGAGTTTTATATACTATCTAATGAACTTATATAATTACAAAAAGGACAATGGATATAAACAAGTTTAGACTGATTCTTAATAAGAGTCTGAGGAAGAAAAAAGCACACCCTAATGTCTGGAAACTGCCCGACACTTACAGCTAGGCCTTGGTGATTCTGAAGCTGGACTGGGGCACACAGCCAAGCCATGTTATTCTCCTGTTGGACATAACAATCTCACAAAATATCAACATCAGACAAGGTCGCTCTGAGACCATGAAAAAGTGAGACAAAACAAGAACACTTCAAAATTTTGTCTGAGCATGGACAAAAAACAAGGTCCCTGTGCAACCTACAAAATACCAAACATCCCCCTCTCCTGGTGACATAAGTGACTTCTGCTTCTCTACAGGTGTAGCTTTAGTCTCACTCCAGTCAGCCCTCCTCCTAGATAAGATTTACTAAGATACCCAAAGAATCACCTGCATCCCAACAATATCCAATCCAGAGCAAATCCCTTCTTCCTTAAACTCTTCCCCAAATCACCTAATACAAGTCCAAATCCTATAAAAGACCTTCTGAACACTCTGAGACACCTCCAGTTTCCCATGGTGTGCAGTCTACCTCCCTACGAGTAATAAACCCAACTTGTTCACTATAGTTGTGTTCCTAGTGGTCTGTGGGTGGAGGGCATTGACAAGGCTCACTCAACTGGCTGAAGCATAGTGCAGGGCCACAGTGAAGAATATGAAACTAGCGGTGTCACTCAGTGTATTTACAAGTAGAATGGAGAGCAGCAGTTAGTCTGGAGTTGGTTAAGCAAGCTTCTACCATATTTCCTTAGATTCAATTCCTAGAAGGAGAATTACTGGGTCAAAGCATAAACATTTTTAAGATTCTTGATCTTTGGGATCTTTTGATCTTTAGGGTCTTAACTGTAGGTATAATACACCAAGAATATATAAATGCAATTTATTCTTCCACTTGTTCTGGACTTCAGTTTTACCGGCTCAAACACAATTTATCAATTTCAGTAGTCCTATTCCATTAGTAACAAAATCTGAAATAAGAATATATATTTACACAAATATACAATGTATCTATCTTTAAGTGTAAATGCTTTTTATATATACCTAACTATAGGGAAGTGAAATGTTAAAAATGTACAAAGCCCAGTATAAAAGCAATGCACTGTATTTTTCTTCTCTCTGAAGAATATTATATAATTTTTTCTGATTAAGAAAATCAAAATCAAATTTTATAGGCTCATTGTAGGTTCATCAACTGTAACAAGTGCACCATCCTGGAGGGGGTGCTGATAAGAGGGGGAGGCTATGCACATGGCGGGGCAGGGGGTACACGGGAAATCTCTGTACCTTCCGCTCAATTTTTGCTGTGAACCTAAAACTGCTCTAAAAAAA